TTCTCCAAAACTGTGCCTCACATTTGCTACTAAAAAAACTCTAGGAATTATCAATATTACACAGTAAAAGACTAAAATAACCACTCATAAGTTTACCTCCTTCAAAGAAACAGCGCATTAAAGTAAAAGATATTTTACGGGTAACAAACCGAACTCCCTTAATTTCCGTATTACCCAATTTAACCTGAGCCTTCTTTAAATTATGGATCAGTAACCTGGAACTGGTGTGCTAGGTGATGGTGGTGGACTGGGTGTGCTAGGTGATGGTGGTGGACCGGCAGAAAATTGCTGTAGATTAGCGGAGGGTATTAGTAGCACAAAACAGGACACCAGCAGAATTAAACGAAAGAACATCTTGACAGTGAACATTAGTTATTGATGGCAATTCAACGCTACACTTTTCCGCACAGCGCCCAGACAGATAAGGTTCGCTTCCTAGTTCAAAAATGTGTATTCTTTGAACGTTTCCTTACTGCGTACAGTTATTCACAATCCCCCTTTCCGTACTTAGCAAATAATCCATCACAATTATTCATGAAAAAGTTCTCGTTACCATCCAGATGTCTGCTATGAAGTTTTTGCCATATTCAAAATATTTGCAAAGGCACGTTTTCTTTACATCTGCATGTCTCCGCCGACAAACAGTGTTTGTTAAGCGTCGAATCCTGCATAAGCTCAGCTGCGTTATGTATACAACAGCAATATGCCGCTTATTGTATTATTCCGAAATGTGACGGTTATAAGCCTCGAATTCTGCTCAACAATCCTTTTCATAATACGCGACTTCTCTTTACTGTAAACGCTTCTAAAACCGCAAATAGGATTATCCCTATTAAAAACGTGCGTTACTCGAACTGCTGAACGTCCAACACTAGATCTTACTAACTACGAAATATTTGTTTTGTGGAAGGAGTACAGGTACTTAATTTGAATCGTCTAATATTATATTACATATATCCCACTGAGCCATCGCTAGCTTTTCTAACCTCTTTCTCACCCCCGTTGATGACCTGCCCAAATACTATTGCCACTTTCTAGTTTAGGTCTTTAGCAATCATTACAGCCTTAATGCTTATTGAACAACAAATTCGGTCCCCTCTCTTATTTTAGTACTAAATGGCTCTAGGAAATGAAGATGAAAAACTTTGACAAAAGCCAGTAACTACGGACCCTAGCAACGTAATCTGCTGAGGTCCAAGCTAGATATTACAACTCAGAACGAAAGAGAAGTGGTTTTGTCGAGTGCTGTTTCTGATCTTAATAAATACCCAATGACCAGTGCACACGAACTATGGCAACAGGTTACGCAAACAACTGTTACCCACAGTCAAGCTGCCGAGAAACAAAAACAACTGCGATCTATCAGGTCGGGAAATCCTGAGATACGAGTATACTAACGGCCACCACTCCTCCTAGACTTTAGGGTGTCCGTAAAGTTTTTAACGAGAACCCTGTAACCAGCAAAACCCTATTCAGTTCGCGGTTTCATGAACACCTAAATGAGAAGTACCCAAAAATAATAGCAACAAGAAGAGCGACCTTATAAGTGTTAAAACAGTTGTTCCCTAAATTATGCTAGAATTAGTTTGACTATGCTAAATTTAATGCCCACACTTCCAAAAGAGGTCAAGCTAAAAAAAAACTGAATTTCACAAAGAAAGAATGACCTTAAATCTGGTTTGAGTTCAGCGGACGTAGCCGTCCAACAACAGCTTTAAAACTTGAAAAAGTTTGTGGCCAGAGAGGTTTTAACGACCTCAAAACCCCTTCGCATAACTGCAATAGCAACATTTCTAAACAACCATATCTACTTACTCTACAACAAATACAGGGTACCAGGGATACAGAATACTTTTCCAACCCGCCCTGACCTTGAAAAACCACACCACCAGTTCTTTGTAATGCTCTACTGCGAAGTTAAATACTCTGACACTAACATTTTTCGGATCCATAAGCAACAACACATATAATACACCACGTAACCCATTTCTGCCATTAAAATTTTCTCAAAACAACTGCAAACCAAAAAAGCTGTGTTCCACAACGTAAAAAAATTGCGTTTAGAAATTAAATAGAAAAATGAACGAAAAAGACAACAAAAAAAAAAAAAAAAATCGATGAAGCGTATTGTAGGACTATCATAAAATTTCCCTCAAAATCAAAACAACAATAATCACCAAAATTTACAGTCTAAACGAAATAACAAATACAGTTGCCAAAAAAAAAGCAACATTATGCACACTTTACAAATAACAGATGACAACATAGATTATTATGCATTTCGCCTAAAAATAAAAAATTATGCGAAACCCAATCACGAAAAGCAAAAGGATTGGTTAAAATTCCAATGAACAAAAGAAAGCCCAAAAGTAAAAAATTGAACGTTTGCAATATATTCAAATAACAACAACAGCCATCGAATAAATTCTATAGACTAGAAAATCCTTCTTTGAAGTTCTAAGCTCTGAAGGCCTTCAGAACTGTAATAAAAGTAGTCAGCTGACATTAATTGAGTGACATAAAATAAAAAAATTCTCAATAACTAATTGACACTCGTTTGAATCGGTGCTCTCTGGGAAAAGACAGAAAGAAAAGTCTAAACTCACATTTCTGAATCACTCACTTAGTATCTCTCTGTGTCTTCAAGCAAATGTTAAGAGTTAATGATGCTGCGCAGCACGGTGCTGCTCTTCTCTTTGTTTCTGCGCCTTCACAAATTCACTGTAATCAATGTATCCATCAACATTGAAATCATCTTCCTTTAATATTGAATCAATCATCTGTTCTAGTTCAGCTTCGTTCGGCAAAGGTGGAGGCACGTTTGAATTTTTATATTGTGGAGCTGGGTTTTCTAAAACAACGGAAGAGATAAAAAAGAAAACGACAGTGAAAAAATTTTTTTATAAAAACTTTAACATATTCTCAAACAGAACTCCAGAGCAGTAACGGTAATAACAATTATGAAAAGAACAAAAAACAAAGTCACCAGCATGGAAGTGGGTAATTGCTTTTATCAGTTCTGTACCATCTAGCTTTCCATTCTTATCCAAATCATGAAGATTGAAATAATGGAACTGCAGCTGCTCTGGCGTCATATTGGCTGTCGGATCAACTTTGCCGTCCAAATGTTCCTTTATATGCCTAGACAAATTTGACGAATTCATAATACAGACGTAATTTTAAACGAACACTACAACTTCAGATCCTTTCACTGAGGACAGTATCTAAGCCAAATTGGAAAGTCGAAAATCCTAAAAAACTGAGAATAGATATCTGTATTGAACTAACTCTGCATCTCTAGCTTGTTCACCACCGAATTCTTGAGCTCCACGAGGGTGACCCTGATCGGGTGACTGCGGATTTGGTGGCTGCTGCTGTTGCTGCTGATACTGCTGCTGTTGTTGCTGTTGCTGCTGGTACTGCTGTTGAGGTGGCTGTTGTTGTTGTTGGTATTGCTGCTGCGGCGGTGATGGTGGTTGCTGTTGCTGATACTGTTGTTGAGGAGGCTGCTGTTGATACTGCTGTTGTCCCGGCTGTTGGACCGTATTTTGGTGCGGCTTTAATTAAATTTTATAAAATCTTCTCAAAGAGTAGAAATTGTCCAAGTTAAATGTTCCTATTCTTCAAAAATTGCAGCAACTTTAATATAAAATTTAAAAAAAGGTAAATATTCAGAAATATACAGTATCAATAACCTAGACCAATTGACTTTCCAAAACAGTTGTCTGATGCCCTCATAAAAAAATGAGAATACCATCAAACGTGGCAAGTCTGCTTCTGATGGGCAATGGACTTAATGATGCGTCAA